TTTCAACATTAGGATATTTTGCCAATTGTTGCACAGCTAACGTACTTCTTGATATTTTGCATTTTTAAGAGATTGAAATCGTGTGTGAAGTAGGATTCGCATCATTTGCTTTGAAATTCTATTATTGCACACTGTGTATCTAATTATTGCACACCCATAAAACATGGCTAAATGCGAGTAACTCACATCCAAATCTCAATTCAAGATGCTCAAAAAATCTCACACTAGCGAATCAATCTTCAAAAAATCATCTTTCATTTCTCGCATCTACTTGCATCGTGCTTCATCTTTTTGCAGGAAATCTTCAAAATCGACAAAATTTTCCTTCTATCTACACTGGAGTCGCTTTTTACGCGGGTGATACGTCCCGCGTGAAAAAAAAAACCGCGTAAATTCCGGAATCCGCGTAAAAAAAAACCGCGTAAATTCCGAAATCCGCGTAAAAAAAAACCACGTAAAATAGACCGTGTAAAAAAACCGCGTAAAAAGCGACTCTAGTGTGTAACGACAAACCGCGTAAATTCTGAAATCCGCGTAAAAAAAAAACCAAAATCCGCGTAAAAAAAAACCACGTAAATTCCGAAATCCGCGTAAATTTCGAAATCCGCGTAAAATAAAACTGTGTAAATTCCAAAATCCACGTAAAAAAAACCGCGTAAAAAAACCGTGTAAAAAAACCGCGTAAAAAGCGACTCCAGTGTACTCAGCGTGCGTGCAGCTAGCCACAGCAAAACACAATCTTTTCTGCATCGTAGATAGAGTCGTCCCCTTCGGCTAAATGCATGTTGGAATTACATTTTTCAGCTAGAATATTCAATGAGTGATTCTGTTAGACGATTAAACGTAAGTTTTCGGTATGTTTACTTACGATATCAGCTATTTTATTGATTTAATTGATGCGGTCAATAAGCAAAGCAAAATATACACAGCAGCTGTTTTATATGAAACGTTGCATACCTTCAGGCGTTATCACCATAGACAATTATCCTGGACCAAGAGTCCAAATGTGATCCAATTATTGACCATTAATAATTTTTCTGAAAATTTTGCAAGGTAGATAGATGCAATTAATCGTTTGATGCCAAAATAATTTTCCTGTAAATATTACTTAATATAGTTAAATTTTGAGCTTGAAAGAGCTTATTTTACAACTGCAGATTATTACCAAAAAATTAAAGAAATCACCTGAAATCATAAAAACCATGTCAAAAATATTTAAAACATGTTTTATCATAATATTCCTAATATTGAGTATCAAAAACACATGTTTCATCATTCAACAATTGATCACTGATTAGAATGTCACCATGATCGGAAAAGTGTATGGTCAGGGGTAAATTCTGTACAATAAACAATGTGAAGTGTGCAACAAATTGGCAAACTACCCTTACTCTAATGGCGTTAAGCTCCAACTCGGATTAAAATTTAGTCTCTTCCCTGTTTGGATGATCTGCAAAATATTTGCTCGACATCAAAGCAGCCGGGCTTTCTTGATCGGGATTTAAGCGGTTGGAGCTTACCATAAAGGGGCATAATGCGCCCCGTGAATTGTAGTGTGGAAAGCATAACCATCGGGCGAAATTGAAATTCAATAAAGGAAGAACATAGATAAAGCCTAAATGTATGCTTCCTAAGCTTGAAACCTGATACGCATGTTGCCCCGTGGTATTCGAAAACAGGGTTTTGTTGACCTTTTAATTTTGCCAATTTAAACAAGAATTTAGCCGTTTTCGTTAAGCATATCACTAGCCTAATACAAAATTTCTAGATAAACATTTCAAAAGGTTCTATCTGCATTGATCGATTCTCTTCATCGGCTTTCTCTTTTGATAACCAGGGCTCTGCAAACAGATTTCGGAATATTTTTGCCACATAGTTTTATTTGTTTATTTGTTTATTTGATCACCATCTTCGACTACGTCGTACAGACTCATTACTTAAAACCTAATTTAATCTAAACGCCTTATTCTAGCACTAAACACATGTTTGGTCAAAATAAAATCAAACTCGCTACAAACATCATTAAAGGAACGCAAACAAGAATTAAAACAATTATTGAATCCAAAGTTCGTTCTGTGAAATGGAATTGCAAGTAACGGGGAATTACGGAATCGTCGAGGAGGAGTATTCCATGGAATCAGTTCCAGAAGTTCTGGACAGTCCACGTTTCCTGTTATGAGGTCAAAGATAAACAGTCGTTGCAATTTGAGACGCCTGGCAGAGAGGGATTCCAAATCAATCAGCTTGCATCGGTCGGGATAACTTGGAAGATTGACTGGATCATTCCAGGGGAGCTGACGCAATGCAAACCTTATAAAACATTTCTGAATCCTTTCAACCGCAAGGATATGCGTAACGTAAAATGGAGACCAAACCGGGGAAGCATATTCTAAAATGCTGCGAACCAGCGAGCAGAATAGCGTCTTGAGACAATAAACATCGGTGAAACCAGAAGCATGACGACGAATAAAACCAAGCACAGTATATGCTTTAGCAGTTACGATGTTTATGTGTTCGTTAAACCTTAGCTTCGAATCGATCGTAATACCTAGATCACAGATTGAAATTGCACGTTCTAGAGAATCCGGCCCCATGTAATATTGATGGTGAATAACGTTGTTGCAGCGAGTGAAGGATATTATTTTGCACTTTTTGCTGTTTACGCGCATGCCGTTGTCACCGCACAAGACTATCACACGATGTATATCTTCTTGCAACGCGACACAGTCAGTGGGAGAAACAATCACACGGAAAAATTTTAGATCATCGGCAAAAAGGTTCTAATCTAGCGTGTAATACGTTGAACACAACAGGGAATGTTTTTGCAGCTGAGTTATTAACGAAAGAGAAAGTCGATGAAGAGCGTTGATCGATGCAGGTAGGACCTTTTGAAATGTTCATCTAGATTTAGATGGTATTGCACTTAAGGTTCAATTTACTTTGATGCTTTTTGGAAAATTTCAAAAGCAGTTTTTTTCGACGCATTATTTCAGATTGCAAAAAGCTCGCACTATTCGATCCTTTTGATATTTTACACAAAATGACGCAAGTTTTTTGCAATCTAAAATAATGCGTCGAAAGAAACTGCTTTTGAATTTAAAAAAAAAAAATGCATCAAAGTAAATTGAACCTTAATATCGATTCACTTTCTGGATTAAACGGAGATCTTCCAATGCTAAATGGGCATTTTACTCCCATCTCCCCTACATTGGAACTCGCATTGAAATAATATGTGTTTTAAATGTTTCTTCTTCTTCGCATTTCCAGCTTAAGTGTTGGAGGCGAACCAGCCTAAGGCTGAAAGCCTCCTAAATAAAGCTAAATAATAATAATAATTTCCAGCTTATTACTTATCGCATATTAGCTTATTGCATGCTCACAACTTAGTGTTTTAGATGCACTTCCACAGTTATTAATTGAGAGCTTTCGATGCATGTACCATTTTATGTGGCGAGTCCAATCATACTTCTATGCCCACGGAAGTCGAGAAATGTTCAAACCCGAAAAATTCCTAGACCGGACCGGGGTTCGAAACCCACCCACCTTCAGCATGATCTTGCTGTTTAGCTGTGCCTTTACCGACTGAACTACGGGAGGCCCACAATGCTTCTTCGCTATACTTTTATATCCTAATTTGTATTCGAGAAACAAATTGCGGGATTCATTGCCCACTTTCAGCTCGTGGATATCGCCTAAATACCCAATAAAGGTAAAGTTTATTTTCCCACACCAAACAGCCGCAACTATCCACCGAACGCCAGCAACTAGTCGGCCGGCAATCATACAAGACCTCCACAATTCCGCATCCTCAGTTCCATTGGCGTGGGTCCAAAGCCGGTTATACACACTGTCAGAAACAGAAGTAGCAAATACCAGCAGCTTAGATTGCTTTCAACTGCTAGGGTTTAGACTAGAGCATATAGAGTTAGCTCCCCCCGGACTGTATTATTCAAATGTCATCTTTTGTACCATACTTGTTACAATTCATTCATACGGATACCGTGTACTCACGACGGCAGCGAACGGAACGAGAAACTTAGATCTCCCGGCCCTCGCAAAGTGCATTGGGAAATGTAGGTATAAGACCTAGTATAACGGGAGGAAAAGCTCGAAAATGGAAATCCGCATTTTGTTCAAGGGGGTCGCTTTGAATGCAACCGGCGTCGTCGTTGTCGTCCTCGTCTGTTCCATGTAGGGTAGAACAGGGGACAAATGCACCCGGGGTGAAACGCCCGATGTGGTTTTTTATAGCTATTCCACTCTTAATTCTCGGGTTTTTTGGGCAGGAATGCTAGTTAGAGTACTAAACCAGCAATGTGGCTTGTCAAATGTATGAATTGAAAACTGGAATGCTATGAAAATTCGCATCGGGCGTTTTGCTCCGGGCTGCATTTCAGGCTCTTTTCCCCTATGTCCAATTTATTGAGCAGCAAAAGATGTGTAATGCGAATGTTCGTACCGAATTGTACTGGCTCTTTGAATGAAAGTCGCCTGAAGGAGACAACGTTGAAATTGACTCTTTTGATGTGAGTTAACCAAATCGGTTTTTTTGAAACGTTGCCACAAGTTTCCAAGCTGAATCTTTTGGGGTAGGAATGGATAGCATGTCATCATTATTATTTGGAAAAGAGATTTTCTTCCCACAAAGATGTGCAGAGTCAGGAAACGTACACTTTTGTTGCTCCGTGAATTGCAGTGCAATTAGAGCAACATCAGAAAACTATGTTCAACTGAATCCTATAGAAGGTTGCATTCCCTTAGAACTCACTGTCGAAAATGTGCAAAGTTTCACCAAAATAGAGCAATAAAATTATCATCCAACTTGCCTACGTTTCTCCAGGAGCAAATTAAGGCTGGTTTTTGCACGGCTGTAAGCTGGGGGAAAAGTTTAAGTGATGTCATAATATTTTCCTCTAACGACCCAATTAAATTACCAACTGTATATGTACACAACTTCTTTCCACAAAACAATAATTATAAAAAGAGAATGCTCAACTTACTGAAATTAAACAGATGCATGATGGTGTGCAGCAGACTGTAGGCGGCCACCAGCATTCCGGTCAGTTTGTGCAGATAGATGTGCTGGTCCAGCGGGAGGAACGCGGTAAAGCCTCGGGTCCGGAGAAACGTGATACACTGTCGCAGCATCAGCACCAGGATGAAGGCACAGTTGAAGTTGAGACATTGTCCTGCAAAAAGGAAACGGGAATGTGTGGTAAGGGTTACGGAGGACATCCCATGAGAGAGTGCTGTTCGGAGCAGAACATAACACGCTAGCAGAGTGTGCGATACGAGATGTGCGCGCAACTGGAGGTGAGAGAAGAACGAGCGATAAGATTAAAGTTGACACATGTTTAAAACATTTATCAACGCCTCTGGAGATACGCTGTTCGGTGCACGGTCACAGAGAATAACTCAGAGAGAGAGAGAGAGAGTTACTTCTACTCAGTTGTATGATACATTTTTAAAAACTACAGGTACTCAGCGCTGATTTCCTGCAGTTTTTATAAATTTCGGCATACCTCTGAGTAGAAGTGCCACTCTCTCTGAGTTATTCTCAGTTGCCGTGTGTGCAGGAATATGCTGTTTATCGATGGAAGAGTTCGTTTTATTGAATTTTTCAATATGTTTTATAATTGGGATAATCGAAGGGATAGGTTGAGTTATACATTCTAGGACTAAATAATTCCATTTGTAGTTGAACATACATACTTAATTCAGATCACAGAAGTCGGTAGTATTTTACTGGGCTTTTGTAGAACAGCAAAACAAGTCGGTAAAATTTTCAAAATACGCATGAGGAATCAATAAAATTGACAAATTTTGGTTTTTTTATAAATAAATGGGGTGAACTGAACAAAGTCAGTGTTCACTCGGCTGTCGACAAAAGCAGGCCACTCTCGATGTGTGCTCAGTGATGCCACATTTTTTCAAAGTTCAATCTGTATTTTCATCGCAAAAAATCTTTTTAATCTGTATCTGGCTGACAAAAATCTGTGAAAAAATCTGTATAATTTCTATATTATGGTCTCAGTGCGAATTTACGTAAATCTCCATTGAGCAAATCCATAGTTCAGAAGGAGTTTGTTCAATGTTTAGAATCATGAAAAATTACTAAAGTTTGCTTTCTAAAGAATTTGCCTATTTTAAAAATCTTGTAATCCTACAATCTTGATTTTTTGTAGTGTTTTGTATCTCTTTTACTGTTTGAAAATACAAAACATTAAGCACCAGTTGTAAGAGACAAATCTTTTTCCGACTGAAAATTTCCTTAATGAAGTAACTATCACAATTCCCTAGAATTTGATTTATTTATGTCTCAGATTACGCAAACCTTTATCTGGACATTGGACATAACACAGAACTTTTGCAGGAAGTTTAGTCGAATTGCATGCAATATTCTTTATTTCTATAATTACGTTTTTAAATATAAAAATATCCAGTTGATTCTTTGACTCACAAACTGTAATCAACCACTTCGGGGGTTTTCTAAAATGGTTTTCTAAAATGGCTTATTTGACAAAATATATTTAATTAACTTCGTATCTGAAGGGGGAATAGAAAGGGAAACTAATATTCCTTCCAACGAGAAATCAGAACATCTGAACATCAGAAGTCCATTCGAAAGATTCCATGTCCATCTGAAGCTAAAACAATAATAATTTACTTAGTAAAAAATACGATTTGAGTTTGATGCTCAGATTGAATTCAAACTGCTCAAAATGAAGAAACGATTATTTATCGGAATTATTATATTAAAAAAAAATTATGCAAAATATACCCTTTATTTGAAAAAATCTGTATATTTTTCAAAAATCTGTAATCTGTATACACAGATTTCTGTATCATAATATTGAAAAAAAATCTGTATGATTACAGATAAATCTGTATATGTGGCATCACTGTGTGTGCTACGCGATCGTCTGTTTTCTCGGCAGCAACCATTGTGTGGTCCTCCTCATTGTTCTTCATCAGCAGTTCTTTCGGTCGATGCGTCGTCGACTTTGGAAATCAACCGTTTCGTGATGAGTGTGTGAGTGCTGACCACGTTTTGCGTCCATTGCTGCAATGGATGCGCTCTGACCCTCTTTGGCGTACAACAATTTGCCATACAATGAAACTACTAGAAGCGGCTCCAGTTCTGATGGAGGAGGCTTTTTGGATAGCGGAAGATACAGTGTTTATTGTGTTGTACCTTTTGACTATAGTTTTAAGATGTATTGTATAGTGACCAAGAATCCTCGGCTCTGTAAATTTAATTCGGTTGAGCCTTATCAAATAAATTAATAAACAAAAAAAAACTGAACAAAGTCTGTAAAAGTTCAGAATAAATTTACGACATTATTGGATTTTCCACTGATTCTTTTAACTTGTACCGAACAGTTCCGTAGTTCAAAATTTTCGAAACAGTAGAGGCCTGGATTAGTGTGTATATTTTTTCATGTTGAAAATTCCAAAAGAAATTTATTGTTATTTCGGAGCAAACATGTTTTTAATCTTTACAAGAACTTCAAATCTCTGAAACATTATTGTGTTACTGAAGGAGATTATAACTCACCCTCTTGCCTCTGCTGATAGCTGCCTAAGCCCATGGATTTAATGAAAAAGGAATGAATTTCGTGGAAAAGAATGAAACTCTTTGAATTAGCCCCTTTGGCTTGACCTTTGTCCCTTTGTCACTACGGTGCTGGATGTTCAAATCATTTTTCAAATGATAGCGAATACCATTTTAGTTGCTTGATATTGTCAGTTATAAGAACTGAACTTGGGTTTGTCATCAATAATCACGCTACGGTAGTTGATTTCCAGCACTCGTTCAATTTTTAGAAAGATGTACTGACAGACACGGTTCAGTGAAACTCTTCACATGTCATTGATACATACATTTATTTGTACAACATCACATTTAAGATAAGACATAATCAACAATAGTACGACACAATACTCGGTTTGCGGCTGCCGCTCTCCATCCTCGGTCATGCCCAATGCTCGCTAGATCACGCTCTACCTGGTCCGCCCATCGTGCTCTCTGCGCTCCACGCCTTCTTGTGCCAACCGGATCAGTAGCGAACACCAACTTTGCAGGGTTGTTGTCCGGCATTCTTGCAACATGCCCTGCCCACCGCATCCTTCCGGCTTTGGCCACCTTCTGGATGCTGGGTTCGCCGTAGAGTGCAGCGAGCTCGTGGTTCATTCTTCACCGCCACTCACCGTTCTCCTGCACACCGCCAAAGATCGTCCTTAGCACACGTCGCTCGAAAACTCCGAGTGCTTGCAGGTCCTCCTCGAGCATAGTCCATGTCTCGTGTCCATAGAGGACCACCGGTCTTATTAGCGTTCTGTACATGGTACATTTGGTGCGGGGGTGAATCTTTTTTGACCGTAGTTTCTTCTGGAGCCCGTAGTAGGCACGACTTCCACTGATGATGCGCCTTCGTATTTCACGACTCACATTGTTGTCAGCCGTCATTAAGGATCCAAGGTAAACGAATTCCTCCACTACCTCGAAAGTATCCCCGTCTATCGTGACATTACTTCCTAGACGAATCCTGTCATGTTCGGTTCCGCCTACTAGCATGTACTTTGTTTTTGCCGCACTCACCACCAGTCCGATCTTTGCTGCTTCGTGTTTCAGGCGGGTGTATAGTTCTACCACCGTTCCAAATGTTCTTGCGATAATGTCCATGTCGTCACACAAATTGACCGGATTTCGTGAAAATCGTACCCCGGCTGTTGAACCCGGCTCGTCGCATTACACCTTCTAGAGCAATGTTGAAGAGTAGGCATGAGAGTCCGTCACCTTGTCGCAGTCCCCGGCGAGATTCGAATGAACTGGATAGTTCACCCGAAACCCTTACGCAGTTTTGCACACCGTCCATCGTTGCTTTGATTAGTCTGATCAGCTACCCAGGAAAGCCGTTCTCGTCCATGATTTTCCATAGCTCTGTGCGGTCGATACTGTCGTATGCCGCCTTAAAGTCGATGAACAAATGATGCGTTGGGACCTGGTATTCACGGCATTTCTGGAGGATTTGCCGTACGGCCGTCAATGAAGTCGGCTTGATAACTTCCCACGAACTCGGTCATTTTAGGTGATAGACGACGGAAGATGATCTGGGATAGCACTTTGTAGGCGGCATTCAAAATGGTGATCGCTCTGAAGTTCTCACATTCCAAATGGTCGCCTTTCTTGTGAATGGGGCAGATTACCCCCTCCTTCCACTCCTCCGGTAGCTGTTCTGTTTCCCAGATCCTGACTATCATCCGGTGCAGGCAGGTGGCCAACTTTTCTGGGCCCATCTTGATGAGTTCGGCTGCGATACCATCCTTACCAGCTGCTTTGTTGTTTTTGAGCTGCTGAATGGCATCCTTAACTTTCCTCAGCGTGGGAGTTGGGTCAGTTCTGTCCTCTGTTGCACTGACGTAGTTGTTTCCTCCATTGCGCTGCTCTCCCGTGCCTACGTTCTCCTCGCCATTCAGGTGCGCATCGAAGTGCTGCTTCCGTCAAGAGGCTCCCGTCCTTATCCTTGCACATTTCGGCTCGCGGCACGAAGCCGTTGCGGGATGCGTTGAGCTTCTGGTAGAACTTCCGTGTTTCTTGGAACGGCACAGCATTTCCATTTCCTCGCACTCCGCTTCTTCCAGGGGCGTTTTTTCTCCCGAAAGATGCGGGTCTGCTGTTTCCGCTTCTGTTTATACCGTTCCACGTTCTGTCGGGTTCCATGCTGCAGCATTACCACCCGCGCTGCGTTCTTCTCCTCCAAAATCGCTCTGCACTCCTCGTCGAACCATTCATTCCGTCGACTTCTTTCCACGTACCCGATGGTGCTCTCGGCTGCGTCGGTGATGGCTGCTTTTACTGTACTCCAGCAGTCCTCTAGAGGGGGCACATCGAGCTCGCCCTCCTCGGGCAACGCTGCCTCGAGATTCTGCGCGTATGCTAAGGCGACACCCGGTTGCTTCAGTCGCTCTAGGTTGTACCGTGGCGGGCGTCGGTACCGTACATTGTTGATGACGGAAAGTTTTGGGCGCAGTTTGACCATCACCAGGCAGTGGTCACAGTCGATGTTAGCGCCACGATAGGTCCTGACGTCGATAATGTCGGAGAAGTGCCGTCCATCAATCAGAACGTGGTCGATTTGCGATTCCGTCTGCTGTGGTGATCTCCAGGTGTAACGATAGGGGAGGTGGTGTTGGAAGAAGGTGCTACGTATGGCCATGTTCTTGGAGGCGGCGAAATCGATGAGTCGTAGACCGTTCCCGTTCGTCAGCTGGTGGGCGCTACTTTCCAATCGTCGGTCTGAATTCCTCCTCCTGGCCTACCTGAGCGTTTAGGTCTCCTATGATGACCCGCACACAGCCGCAGTCAGTTTATGAGCAAAAGAAGGACGCACATTTTTTGCCTGTAGACTTGGAGACATACTTCAAGTCTCCGCGTACATCGTATGGGTTAGGCAAAAGATGTGCGTCTAACTTTAAAAACTGTCGCATTAATGGCCTTTCGCTCATTTTCAACTTCTATTCAATTTTCATACTGCCGTACTCTAACGGAACTATCCACCTACTCTCTTCTAAAGATCATTCTCTAGCTAATAAATTTATCACACTAAAGCTTCATGTTAGCATTTCCAACCAACTCCACAAATAGCTCTCTAACCACACACTTAGATTTTTTGCCGAGATGGGCACCACCGAACAGCTCGGCTATCTATTTTGCTATCTATTTTGAGATCGCGGCTAACAATCATAAATTTTGCTGAGATCTCAGTAACAATAAATGCCAAGCCTGCTCGGTGGTGCCAATCTCGGCAAAAAAATCTAAGTGTGCGCAGACGCAACAAGAGAGAGAGAGAGAGATACGAGAGGATGATTAGCCCGGCATAATCCATAACCAAAATAAAATTTCATAATTTTTTAAAGTCAAAGTTCAATCTCCAAGATGGTAATATTTTTCTGAGCCTCATAGTTTGAATATATTTTTTTTTTGAAATCCGAGATCTCGAAAGTGTTTCAAAATCCCAGGTTGTGAGTTACATAATCATGACTTTTTTTTGGCCTAACGGATGAGCACCATTGGATGAGTTTTTTGAAAGTTTAGAAATTGTTTTAGAATTTATGATCATGAATGAAAATTTTGAATCCAGGTTAAATACCATCTCGCTCTAAGATTGTATTCCTTGATTATAGGCAAGGAACAGCCCTGGCCAGATTGGAGGGTTATAACGAGGTATAATATCATCTTGATGACATGTGTCTGCAGTCTGATCGAGGTATTAGAAAAATCGTTAAGATTGTGGAATTTTCGAGATCCTGTACATGAAAAAAGCAAATTCGATGAAATTCTCATAATTCTTCAACTCACATTTTTGTTTTACATCCAGAATTTTGAAAAATTGACTAAATCCATGATATGAATGTAAATTAAGATTTTGGACTTTGGAAAATATTCCAGAATTTGGCAAAATGAAATTTTTTCCGGACCTCAGCCGTAGTGCATTTTCAAAGTTCCAAGATTTGAAAAATCAAATCAAGATTCTGGAAGTTTGTAAATAAATTATGGTCTCGGACTTAGTTTTTCAGGGAGTGGATTTTAAAGAAAAGCATTACTTTGGAACTTTAAAGATTTTTTTATGGATTAGAAGGTTTGTTTTTTTTATATTGTGAAAAAATTGAAATCGTTTCGTGATTTCAGGCTTACATTTTCTGGAATTTGAATTTCCAAATTTAGAAGAGCTCCCAAGATTCAGGGTCTAACAGAAATAGTAATGATTTTTTCGGACTTTGAATGATTTTCAAGATCCCCGGTTTAGTTAAAAAAAATCAAGATTTTTGATTTTAAGAAATGTTCAGTTCCCTAGGACATAAACAAATTTGAACGATTCAAGATTCAAGATTTCAATCCTAAATATAATGTTCAAGGTGTCTGTACACATAAAACACACTACGATCACCACGGCCGAAAATACTAAGATCTGAAATTGATCCAAAAGGAAGCCCAGTCGAAGCGGATCACCACGCCGCAACCGGCCGAATCGGGCCAGATAGTATGGATTGGCTGAAGTCCATCCTCCGGAATGCTTAGGATCAGGAGTGGTCACCAGCGCCGTTCCTTCGAAAGATCTTGGGAGAAATCACCAAGTGGCAGGATACCCCCATCTGATAGGATCAACTGGTCCTATCCCGTCTTCGCTCTGGGAACATTCGGGTGACGCACAACATGGGGAGCGTGGCTTCAATCACTTCTACACTGCTGCCCTTGTTCACGAAGGCCAAGTCTAGTAGTATTCCGTTCGGGTTGATGCATATATTATGTCACGCTCTAGGGTGGGAGGGGGTGGTCTAAGATTTTGTGACAAACAATGCATTAGGTATAGGAGAAACGTCACGGTAGGGGGGGGGGTACATTTCTCCTCGATTTGGCTTGACATAATTAATGCATGGGCCCTTGTTTTTACGGATGTCATATATTTGTTGAGGTCCGCTGGTAGCTAAACATTCCGGTTGATTACCAAGCATCCAACAGACATGCACCGTTATCACTGCGGAGACTCAGCGGTCTGGGCTGGTTTACCCTCCATAGTTAAGGCCAAAATACACGGTTCAAGTTAGCAAATTCAACTCACCCCTGATTTCGTGGTTGTTGTTGAAGTGACATGAAAGTGAATTAGTAAAGGTTGTCATCGACCAGCTTTTTCGATGGAAGTAAACTGTCTTGAATTTCTTTTCATTTTCTTCGAGCACTTAGCTGTCCGGTAACTAAGTACAGTCAAGACCGGCATTAACGAATACACGTACCATATGGGATTATAACTAATTGGGGACAAACCCTTATTGTAGGGTAATTTGAAGAAATAACTTCCTGGTGTCTTCTAAAAAGTTATTAACAAGATAATGGCCACGTTTTGGGTAAACTTTGTATCTGGAAAGTACCAAGTCCGGTCCTCTTGAAAATCCGGAACATCCGTAAAAGTGGCCAATTCATGAAACTGATACTAGAGCACCGCGGTTTTTTCGAAACCACTCATAGACGTCTTATTGGAATTAATTTGGAACTTTCACCAGAATATGACCTTTGGTACCACGCTATGGTCCTCCGGAAGATCCGGAACATCCGTAAAAGTGGCCAATTCATGAAACTGATCCTAGTACTTCGCGTTTTTTTTTCCAAAACCACTCATAAACGTCTTTTCAGAATGAATTTGAAGTTGTGACTGGAATCTGAACCCTGGGGACCACGTAATGGTGCTCCGGAAGATCCGGAACATCCGTAAAAGCGGTCAATTAATGAAACTAATCCTAGAGCTCCGCGGTTTTTTCGAAATCACTCATAGATTATTAGAATGAATTCGGCGTTGTGATCGGAATATGGACCCTAGGTACTACGTAATGATCCTTCGGAAGATCCGAAACAGTCGTAAAATTGGTCAATTCACGAAATTGATCCTAATGCTCCGTAAACTCATAAACGTCTTCTCAGAATGAAGTTGTGACTGGAATCTGAACCCTGGAGACCACGTAACGGTCCACCGGAAGATCCGGAACACCCGAAACTGAAACTGACCCTAGTGCTTCGTGTTTTTTTTCGAAACCACTCATAGACATCTTATCAGAATAAAATCGGAGCTGTGGCCGCAATATGGATCCTGGGGACCACTAACTCAATAAAATAAGTCCTAACGAAGTGTAAAACAAATTCTTGCCGCTTTTCATGTAATGTTGTTCAATTTGTTTTGAATATTTTTCTATACATAATTGATTGAATTCCCATTTTCTCTCAATTTAAATTCCATTTTCTTTGTCAGTTTCTTGATTTCAATTTTCTGTTTGTTAAAATGTCTTCTTTTTGATACCGTTTACAATAAATGTCCGACAAATCTTGTTCTCCCTTTTGATTTGGAGTGATTATTTCCATGTCGCTTTTCACGAGACAGCTCGAAAGGACCGGCACCCAGGGGTTCGTTCCTGTTTGATTGTTAGGGTAGGTACCTACCTACCTACTGTGCCACCGGCTGCTGTTTGCGTGTGACTTGCACTTCTGAACAACACTTACCACAAGCTCGCGCCAGTATGACAAATCCATTGCTCTTGCGGTACTGGATCGCACGCGATATGAACAGGCCCACGTTGATCAGGATGAAGACCGACAGAAACGAAAGGTAGACGTAATTGTTCTTAATGTACGGCGCCGTCAGCTGGTGGGGTAGCGGTTTCTTCTTGTGCTTTTTCCTAGTGCTGTCCTCCTGGGGCAGTGGGACGAGCCACCGATCGATGCTGGGAAATAAGTAATTTTACGGTTATTTTTTTTTCTTACGTTTTGGGATTCTGGAAAGGGAATCTCACCTTATGCTCAAATTCTCCAGCAGTCCCCCGTGCTTTTCCAGCTGATTTTTGAGCGCCTCATAGGTGATGGCCCCTCGGTTGAACTTGTCGGCGTCTTCGAACATTGCCATCGTTAGGTCCTCGATCTGGCGGCGGAGAAGCGGAACCATGGTCATCGATCATTTCAACACGCCGCCGTGTCGTGTCCAGGGGGTTTTTGGAATTCGTCGCGACGCAGGTTGTGTTGATGAGTTGTTGTTAGCAGAGAAGAGAAATCAAAAGAAGAAATCAATAATTAACAATTAAGGCTTGTTGGATGGTTGGTTGGTGTGACGAGACGCAGCGAGTAGACAGCAGACTTTTGAAAACTTGCCAACAATCTTAAATATGTATTGCATATACACATCGCGAGGAGCAGATGACAGGTTCGGAAGCCAAGCGAGCATTGCCCGGCTCGGCCCACTGGCTGCAGATTGCTGGCTGCTGCTGGTGCTAATTAGAGAGGAGCGGAATCTGGCCGTGCTAATTAATCATGAGAGTGTCTGTCAACTGAGCCATTTGAAATTGAACATCCTTCGGAGCGAGTTGGCTTAAGTATAGTGGCCGTTGCCGTTGGTCATCTAATGGAATTATTTGTAGCAATCGGTTTAATTACGTATACAGGGAGCGTCCAAGTAGAAGATGACAAGATTTATAATTTATTCCGGTCTTAATTTATGATACAAATTATACTCCGGATGATGAGAGGCCATACGTTGCGATATGTTTATGTTTCCGGGCGGGAAGTTCTGGTTTTTTTTGTTGCTGAATGTTGACAGGCTGCCGAGTGACCGCCGTTGCTGATTTATGACCGGAAGAGCGAGATGAGCTGGACGTTTGACAAGCGTGTGGAAGTAGTAATTCCAGCAATGCGCATAATTGAATCAGAGCACTTTGGATTGAAAGTGCTTGTTATTGAGAAAATCACCGAGAGTGGTGACCGTTGAAGATAAGACAAGAATGTATCGAGTTGTAGGTTTTTTTTTTTTTTTTTTTTTCCTTGATTGGTTTTTCGTCGATCTTGTTTTCCGTGCTGAGCACCAATGCTACCGACGCCAGGGAGGCAGCTCCCACACCTGGACCCTATCTATCGATCCATCAACTCATGAACCGGGGACCAACGGCTTTACTTCCCTTCCGAAGGAAGGCGTGTGATCAGAGATGTTATGCCTCAGAACATCCCGGCGGCGCCGACTGGGATTGAACCCAGGCCTGCTGGGGTGAAAGGTAATCACGCTTACCACTACACCACCGGCGCCGTTAGAGTTGTAGGTTGTGGTTCGTAAAGTTCATAAAGTTGTATTTTAATAATATGAACCGATGATTGATGCACGACGGGAAGGGGTTTGTGCACAATTTTTTTGGTGATGGAAAATTAGGCACGATGACAAAAGGGTGAACACCATTAGGCCGAATTCTAACAATAGTCCGAATGCGATTGAGCCAAAATGGTCACTAGGTCAAATGAATATTGTATAAGTACTTATTTTTCAAGTTGGTAAAAAACCTGAATTTATCCGCCTATGGTGAGATCTGACCCTTCCTACTTGTTTTAGAGTTCTCATGAAATTTGAATATAACGTGTGTTGGCTCTAGTTTGAAACTGAATACTCCCTTGGGCGTACCTGGATCATGATTGGATTTGGTCAATATGGCCCTAGACACTCGGTCCAATAATCTTTGTCCATCTACAAAGGTCCCGTAGCTTTATTGAAACTTTTCTCAACTTCTACGAAGTTCCATCAAGTTCTTCCAAGTTCTATAATTGTTTTGTTCAAAGTTCTTTAAATTCAACCAAGATCTCAGAACATCCATGACCTTCTCCAAGCCTCAGGAAATACTTTGAACCTTATCTACGAATTTTCCTAAACATCTGTGCAGAACAAAGATCCCACATCATCTAGTATGTACCCAAATTAAATCGTGAAGTTTCAAGAAGTATACTGAACCTCTCCAATACACCCTGAGCTTATTCAAAATTAAATCTGTCTTTTGAACTGCTATCTAGTGAGATTTTTTTTATGGTTTGACAAATTATGTATCTTGACGAAATAGATTTATTGAAAAATATGGAATACGCCATTTTATAAAACTAGGTGAGACTCGGAATGGCCGATTTTCAGCACAATCTTGGTTCATTGCCCCTAGCGAATAATTATGCAAAGTTTCATGGATTTCTGAGAGGTAAAATCTGAAATTCGTTAATTTTTTTTCGCTTTTTGGAATGGATTTCCTACTTTACCAGAAGAGTAGCACCATGGAGAACTATATTGGAATATATTAAAACTTGTCGAAGGTCTGTAGGGATCCACGAAGCACAGTATGCAAACTACTGCCCAAGAATAATTTTGGGATTCTCTTTGTCATTTCCTTCAAATTTCTCCTTTGTTTTTATGGGAATTATTTGCAGAATACTCTTGAAACTCACTCAAATATTATGTTGAAATTTTGACTAATTCTCAAATATCCATTCTAGTTTGTCTCCATAATTATGAAATTTCTATAAACCTCCCTTGGAATATTCTTTCAGAATTACTATCTTTGAGCACTCTTAAGAAATTCTGTTGAAATTGACTCTCGAGCTGTGTTTGAAGTTTGCTCTGAGTTTACCAGGAACATTCCTCATAATTCTTCTAAAAAGTTTATTAAACTTCTAACCAGTCTCTCCTTAATTTCTGTGGTATTTTATTTGAGGATTCCCTTGAAAATTACCCAAGAAATTTTTGGAATTATCTGCTCAAACTATCCTCCCTTGAAGCTATCCGCAGAATCTCCATTGGATTTCTACTTAGAATATCTTTGAGATTTTTCCCAGAACTCCCTTTGAATTCTTTCAAAATAGCCCTATAGAGTATTTCCAGTTAAGCTGAAAAAAAAAATTAGGCCACTTTTGGCCCAGTCTTTTCAGATTTGAATGAAAGATGGCATTTTCCATTGAAAAAATTGTAATTTTTTCCAGATGATTTTTTTTTTACAAGGGCGTATGTAAAAATTGGGTTTTTTTTCTCGGATAGACCATATTACATCTTCTCATTTTGATAACATACGCTAAATGATTGCTAACTAAATGCTCTACAGTTCTTCGCAGATTTCTCTAGGAATGCTCCCAGAGCTTATTTCATTGCATGCGCATTAGCATTGATGACCAGATTCAACCAAATATGTACAAAAACTAAATTAATGATACTTGGGATTGGAAATCCATTCTCAGTGTAAATTCTGGTTAATCAGTATTTTCAGGATCAATATTGGAACCGGCCACGTCCTTATGGTTATCTGTAAAGAAAATGCTTGTTAGTATTACAAAGGTTGCTACTAGAAACCAATAACTCATCTGCATCTTCACACTTTTCTTGAGAATGGAAGTGTGGAAAAAATTGCGAATCGGAATTCATCATGGTAAGTGATCCCAAGTAACATTTAAAGTTTTATTGAGGTTTTATAGCATTCTACAAGTCTAAATCGTGGTCTACAGAACCCTCATAAAACCCAAAATGTTACTTGGGATGTAATCGTTTGTTTGCATTGCGAATATAACAGATCTATAATACGAAAGAGCTTGGGATAGAACCCAATATTCTATTCAGTTAGCAAAAACGGTTGCCATTGGGCCACCGAGGCCCTTATTGTATATATGTAAAACAATTGAATCGGAGTTTCCATTTGAGCTGTTGTTATTATCGTTCAATCCCAGCAGTGACTTCAACAATGACGGCATTGACAACTACTAGCAGGAAATTCCGGTTGACTGACTTCCAGTGTTCGGAAAATCATTCTCAAATTTCATTCATTGAGCCTTCCTGCGAGAATAAACTCGCGTGCGAATGCGGCATACAAAATTCACGCTTGAGATTCTCATGCATATTCACGCACTCACACTCACAACGCCGAAAAATCATTCCAGCTTTAAACTTATAAAAACCACTCAAATGTCAATTGATATCATGCCTATGCATGTTGTGTTAGTTTTCCAACCCCTGATGCACAAACAATAGTGATAACAATGAATAGCGCCAACATATAAAGCAATGAATTTTTGAACCTGAAAACTCATCGGCGAATTTTGCGACGTTGAATTTTGCAAGGCAAAACTCATAGGCGCATAAACTCATGCATGAGATTTGAGTTTTTCCGAACATTGCTGACTTCTATGAAAGGATTCGATCATGATTTCCTACCAGTGTACTTTTTTACGTACCATTTCTGACTGAATTGTGATTGGTGTATACTAGAAAAGAAAGCGCTGCAATACTTTATTTTAATTTTATTTGAACTCGAACTTAAGATTTGAACTCGTGACCTTTAATGTGAGAGAAATATATGCTAACCACTACGCCGGGCCCATCCCGTGATGTAGTACCACTATTTTCTCCTCAATAAGCAAAAGTTGTCGCCACTAGGCCACCAAACCCTTCATATCACAACACACCACTTATAGTAGAGTTGTTGTAATTACTATCACACTTAGAAATAACTAATTTTACACGTGACGGAATCCGTCTTTGACATAAAAGATGAGATGTAAACAAACATGTCATGTAATATTGAGTGCTCCGAGACTGAAAAGTTCGTTACTCGACGAAAAGTACGTTATATTTCGCGTCTGTCATGACTCGGCCGTTTAGCGGTCGTCATTGAAAAGCAATGCAACTATGTTCTGTCAATCTAATTGACTTTTATTGGTTCTGTTGTCTTGTGAATTTTAGCTAAACGGCCTCTTTTCTGATTTTTATCTCTCAATCTATGAAATATACACGAAAACTATGTTGGAACGAAACTTCTAGAACAATATGAGGAACATTATGCCGTACACTACACATTTTTATATCATATGGGTGGAAAATTCGTAGAACAAATACTTTAAAATTCTTCACTTTTTAAGATATCTTCGAGCATGAAACTAAGTCAAACTTCAATAAAATCACTTCGAATAGTCAACCTTTGGTTACAAAGTTGATACATGACACATTAAACTTTGCTATGAAAGTTGTTACAGCAGTTTTCGTTATTTCAGTCTCGAGATACAAATATTGTAAGCCGTAAATTACCTTAAAAACATAAAATTAACTAGAAGCACCTCTAAATCAACACCGATTTTGCTGAAAAT